AACATACATACATACTAGTTGACTTCGAGTTGGCTACGATAATATGTTATTATTTGTTTTTCCAAAAATAGAAAAGACAAAGGAAACATTTTACACGTTTTACACATCTTAATATATATAATTCTTCTGCACGTGTGTTTGTCACCTTACTCCTCCTAAAGGGCTAGACCGATTTAGATGAACTTTTGTGTGTGTATTTCAATAGGCTTCTGAATGGTTTGAAAGCAGAATTGGACCCGGTAGGTGGTGCTGCTGTCGGTGTGTCAAAGAATTTCTTTTTTTAGTAGTTTGAACGCGGGCGAATCCGCGGGTACTGCTAGTATACTTATATATTAAGTTGTATTTTTGTAATATTTTATTTTCTTTTCATTGTCTTACGTAATCAGTATTAAGATGTTTTTAAGTGTGCAACATTGCAATTAATAGGGTGCAAAATTGTTTCGATTAATTATTTTAGACAAAAATACTAAATCAATACGTTGAAAATGTGGGTGATAGTTTGAAATTAAAAACAATTATATTATTTTCTTCATAGCTATCGTATGTTATACAATATATGTAGGTATACCAGTCCCTTTTGTGTTTATGTATGTAATAATAAATAGCCTACTGTCTTTAAAGTTGTAATAAAAAATAATGTCATTTTAATTATTTTAAAATATTATTTCTTTATAAAAGTTGGAGGACGTATATGTAAACTAACAACATCGCCCATACTTCTTTGTCTACCGGTATATGTAATCGCTCTTAAACAAATCAAGATAAAATACGCTGCTTAAATTTCATGCGGTTTACACGTCGAATACGGAGTGTAGTTACGGCATATTTATTTATTACCCATGTCATAATTATCAAAGTAAGACAAAATGATTGAATGTCATATTAAGTTTAATTCTTCTTTTGCATATTTACATGTCAAATATAAAAGGAAAGTTATGGTTTTTAAAAGCTCAATATTCTTATGGTCGCGCTACGGTAATCAGTTAAAGATATGTATTATAATAGAGCGATTTTAATTGTGTTGTTATTACCTATTTCGAATAAACGATTTCGTACAATCTGTGATAAAATCATAACTATCTATACAGTTTTGATCATTTACTTGTGCTTTTTAAAAGTAAATATACTTACAAAGACTTTTTAAAACATTTAAACAAACAATAATTTCATTCTTTTGATTCTGCCACAGATCACATAATAGTTTACTATGCTAAAGTTAGAAAATCTAGAATGTAAAAAATGTGGTTCCCACATAAATAATTTAGTAATATTCATTAAGAAACAATACAAGGAAACCTGTAATTACTTATAAGCAGTGAACTCAAATACCTACTCTTGTCAAGTGTCCGGTAGAGTCAACTGAGAACTATGTGTCCTGGACTCCGGCCTGCATCTGTTACTAATAGCTCATTATACTCGCACTTAAACTTTACTAACAAAGCTTGAATATATTTGTTATGATTTACGCTACAAGGGTAGCCAACTAAATTGCATTTACTTAATTGAATTTTATATAACACTAGCGACTCACCCTCGCTTCGCTTGGGTACGTCCGTCGGTTGATTCCCCATACAAATTTTCATCTCTATTTTCACCCCCTCTAAGGATGATAAAAAGTATTCTATGTCCTTCCCCGGGTCTCAAACTATCTTTTTACCAAATTTCATCTAAATCGGTTCAGTAGATACAGAGATTACCCCCTACAACGTCACAAACTCACAATTCACAAACTTACAAACTTTTCTTCTTTACAATATTAGTATAGATAATATTACCTACAGAAATTCCATCTTGTTTTTTGTTTATTTGATTACCTGTTCGATATAGAAATCTATTGCAATCAAATGTACACATTTTTTTTCTTTTAAAAATCTAAAATAAGATTTTAAAGTACTGCTCCCATTTAATGAAAGTAAAATCGTGACAACTGTACACTCGTCGGATTACCAGCGAAAACTTTGCTTTCTACTGTTCAAAATTATTGTATCAGGCATTATGCAGTATTATTGCTATTTACGCTCGCGCATGTAATCATAATTAGGTAGGACAATCAATTTTTTTCACTTTCACTCGTTTCTTCATTATGATCATATTATATAACGATGGTATAAATATTATTATATACATATGTACATACCGACGTATTATTGTTTTATTCATTTAAGAACACATTATTTAATTCAAGAATATCATACCAAATTGGAAACTTACTAATTAGTAAGTTTTCAAATGACATGTGAAGTCCGCCAACCCGCACTTGGCCAGCGTGGTGGACTATGGCCTGATTCCCCTCGTACTAAAGAGAGGCCCGTGCCCAGCAGTGGGACGTTAAAAAGGGTTAAATAGAATACCAAATTTACCAATAATTCAAAACAACAATACTGGAATGTGCTTCAGTATTTAGAGAATTTCATAATCATTATAACACTATTATACCAGTATATTAATTATTAACAGTTCATAAATGCTTTTTACCTAATTACCTATAGATCTATGTACATTTTTTGTGCGTACAATTGTGATACTCTATCATTTATCTTTTAAGTTAACAATATGCAGCTTCTTTAGTTATTTTTAACTTGTTTTATTTTCTTATTAATATTTTAACTTTATAGTTTTAATTGCATTAAGTTTATTTAATCATTTTTAACTTTTATTCTACTTTGCGATGTTTTTTTAAATAAATAATAGTTTTATATAAATTAAATAGAACTTATTAAGCGATTCTTTTTATATTTTTTAGTACAATAATCGCATAAAGATGTAAATTTAATAATCCATTATAGCTAATATTTACAACAATGCTACGTAACTCCTTTTCCCTGGGAAAAATCACATCAGTGTCGTTCCCACCCAAAGGGCCATTAAGTGAGAAAATATTTATGTTGGAAGGCCCTATTTATAGATGCATAATATAAAATAGTAGCAGGAGGTCGTATTGGTTAGTGGTCACGTTCCTTTTTATTCATTTATTCAATAATCCTATATCCTAAGTAAAATATCGAGAAATCTGACTTAATTACTATTGATTTGCTCTTAACTATAAATATCATGCATTGTGTGCATTTTTTAATATTTCTGAAACATCGCTGCAACTTTTGTTATTATATCATTCTTTTAAAAACAAAGAATTGAAAACTTTTAATTAATATTCCTGAAAGAAAGCTAAAAACTAATATATTATTATTTTTTTGAGTTTCTTTCATTAAGTTTCGTTTCACGTGAGAGCTAAAATATGAATTCATTTATGGTAAAACCTCTGCTTTAATTTATATAAAATATTAATAAATTTTCTTAGATCTACTCTCAATCTACGAGCACTCAATGTTCGAGTAAGTACTTAATGTCTTGGTGAGCTACTTTTATACACAACACGATTATATTTATACATTGAATGATTTGACAAAAATCTGGTTGGCTTAATTTTGATTCAACTTTTCCATAAATTAACGTTAAATCAAAGTGGACTTTTAGTCCACCAACTCGAAATCTAATTTGTTACTTCTCTTTAAAAGCTTTGTAATGCGTGTTTAAATTTATCGAGTACATATAAAAGTACTTACGTGATAGTTCCAGTAGAACAAATATGGCGAGATTTTCTCTGTACATTGTATTTTATGAGAAGCTCGTAAATATTAATTATACATGCAAATTTTACTGCATATTCCCATGCCCATACATCGAATTAACTTTTTTACGGAAAATTTACCTATTATATTAGATTAAATATCAATTAATTTTAGCCATTATCTTATATCTAGAGTCTTTACATCAAGAGGGGTCTCTTGATTAAATAATATGTGCAAGAAGTTTTGTTAAATTTGCTATACAAAATTTTCTCAAAATTGTTGTACAAATTTTAGGCTCTCAGTCTGCATGACACCTCTTTGTAATCTCAGAATTGTTGCTTAAGTAATATCTTGGCTATGGCGTCTAAAGTACGTTAGAATTTCTCGAATAGTTTCCATAGAATAAATACTATTGTGTAGAATATACTTAAAGTTATTAGTCTATGCTATGGGAACCCATTCTTTTTCAATAGAAAAATTATGTTAAACGTTGACAAACTGTTATAATTACAAATATAGTTAACATTTTTTTCATTAACCACTTATCTATTTGTAACATATATGTATAATAAATCTTCAGTGTTGACCAACTTTTAAGTAATTTTTTAAGTAATTGACATTGATAGCCGAATGAATGAGACTTCTTAATTATATTTTTTTATAATTATTTTTAAATATTTTTTTAATATATTAAAATAAATTAAATAACCTAAATGCCCAGAGGACAAAAACCAGCGGCTTATCAAAAACCTTATAATAATCCAGCATAAAATTAAATAACGCAAAAAAAATTTAGATCGAAAATCGTTAGATTCTGGTCACTTATAAAAAGGAAAACGTTAATTTAAAATATAATTAAAAAAAGATTTCATATTAAATATACTTACATTATGTAGATATAAGGAACAAATATGTCATATCTGGTTTTCAAAAAAAAAATTAAGCGGTTCTATATTAAATCTTGTAAGATATATTTCTTTCATGAGACCTTTATCATAACTAATATATTAAAAGCAAAACCTCGTACTCTTATATCTGATAGTATATTTTATTATAAAAAGGAAATTTTATGATAGCGACATTTTACCCCCAGCATGGTCTCGATACGAAAGTCGAGATTTTATTTGTCCTTTAAAATAGCAATTTGGTATCATAAGACACCGCTTACGCAGATAACTCTCATAATTATAGCTTCATAGGATAATAAACATAATTGTGAAAATAAACCAGCGAATTTACATTAACTTAGCTTGTTTATTCGCAAAAGCTTCACGAATATTGTCTTATCTTTTAAAAACTGCAAGGCAGTAAATAAATCTAAATATGGAAGCTAACATGAGACATCAAGGTATATTTTGAAGTTGAAACGGATACCGGGAGATTTCCGATAATATGCATATTAGTATGTAATGCAGTCAATTTTCTTTTGCGATGCATCGCCGGTACGGAAACGGCCTGTCTGGCGAGAGACTAACGATGCACGAATATTCGCGCGCACCCGCGACCCACGGTCGCAAGCGAGTACTCGAGTAGCACAGCATTAAGCATTTCCATTGGCTCCATTCGACTTGACTCGCCCGAGCGCGACGCACACGTGCCGCGTACGCTCCTCCTAGCGAAACTTGACTCGCGTCCGATAATTCGTAAAAGTGGTGTATTTGAACGATCAGTTTTGAGTTCGCCGATACTTTCATTTTATTTATCAGACAGTTTTACTTTTGTGTTGTTTACCCTGTTTTGTGACTTTGCACATTGGAGGTGTACGGTTTATTTTCAATACGGCCGTCTGTTTACGGTGAGTACGTGTTGAATTTCAATTTATATTTATATAGGAATCTTGTCCAGCTGATTTATACGGACGAGAGGAGATCGCGCCATGAACTGCATTACAGATCGAAGGTCGTACGTTTCCTCGCAGTCTAATCGGTTTCCATGACACACTGTACCTATGCGCATTTTCTATTTCAAACGACTTATACTATCACAGATGTGAACTAGAAACAACTTCATAAATATTCCAATTAAAACCCCTACATTTAAAAAATATAGAAAAATACTAAAAAATATAATTTATTTGTAATAAATATTTTATAATTTATAGCACAGAAGGTTGTAAATGCCAACAACTTTATATTAATTAAAAATTGAAGGTGTGCGTTGAACTCTTTTCTAGGCTTTTCTAATGCCTTTAACACAAATTTATTTTAATTGTGTCATAGTTATATATATTTTTTTAAATATATAAAAGCAATTGTTAATAATATTGAAGTAGAACCGTTAATTCTGTTTTTCTTTTGATAACGGTAGGTTTGCAAACAATAGCCCGCGATAGATTACTAAGTTTTAAGTAAATACGGCTATGACCAGTGCATATAAACTTGTCTTGCACTGGTGGTTAGTAATGATTTGCCTTCTTAAGTATGTACTTAGCCTATTTAATATTAAATAAAATAATATATACACTAATATAATTATGCAAATAATAATTAAATCAGAAAATTATTCGTAGAAAAAATGTTCTTTATCAACTATAAAGACTAAAGTAATTAAAAACTAATCTATTTTTACTTAACTTTTGCATTGCGAAAGGAATAATTAATTTAGTGGAACGACAATACTTTAAATTAATTTGTAAAATCAAGAAAAATATTTTAATTTCATAAAAAAAAACTCATATATTTATATGTATATTTGTACTTGTTAAGAAATGTGTATTTTTTGTATTTTACTTCTCTTTTCCACGGAAACTCACTTGAACTGTCACTACGACAGATAAAATATTATAATTATCGCAATGTTAATGGACACATCAGTCAGGCGATTAATTGTGATCGTAAATAAACAAACAGACCTTTTTCACTCTTTCTACATCATTATTAAATGTTGCTCAATATTTTAAGGTCACAAACTATAAAAAAATATATATACATAGTTATATAAACCGGTTTTGATAAACACTTGTTCTCTGCTCGTTTAAACCATCGAAATATACAAAAATATGATAATAGTATAAGTATATTCCAGTAACACCTACAAATATGATTAGAATAAAGAAGTTATCATATAATATAAGTATATATCACATAAGATACCAGATCATGTAAGTATATCGTATAAGAATAGTATAATAAGCAGTTGCTTCTATTACTATTTTGGAGATATACTTAATTATTTTGTGACCTTTTAAAGTGCTTCTTAAAAATTGGAATAAATATTTTTAAGCATCTTAATATACATTAGATTAATCAATAATTTCAAGTTATACATAATATAGTTATCTACATAATGATTTGAAATATACTTTAAAAAGTATTGACATAATTCCGCCATTAAACGTGTTATTATGTATACATACAGATAAATGAAATTGAAGTGTCTGTTTGTAATGCCAAAATAACAGCTTTTTACTATAAATTATATTATTAGTAATTATAAATGCATAAGAAATTATATAAGGTAGGTACTTATAAGAAAATCACAATTTAAAAAAAAATGTCTGTTTGTTCCGGCTAATCTCTAAAACGACTGCACTGATTTTGACGGATCTTTCACTGACAGATGTTATAAGGAGTAACTTAGGCTACTATTATTTTACAAAAAGAATTAGGGTTCCGCTCAAAAAAATTAAAACGTACCTACCTAGGGACGCACCCGAGCCAAGCGAGGTTACCCTCGCTAGTAAAATAATATGAGAACATTTGCAGATAAAAACTGCTGAACTTCGTTATAGAATAAAAACTAACAAGACATGTATGTTCGTTTACTTTTAAAACACGTAAAATACCTAATACGTTATGATGTTTTCAACTATACTCGTACAAATACTAATAAAAAAATAATTTTAAGAAATTATAAGATCATCAAGTTAATTAGAAAAACAATAGAACTGTACACAATTTAATTTGTCAAACTAAAACATTGTTGTTATCATTTGTTTTACTAGAAAAAAATTATGATATGACTAGCATTGCCCGCGGCTTCGCCCGCGTTCAGATGACCAAAAACCAAATTCTTAGGTTTTACATATCAGTATACTCTTACATTGCAGTTTTTGTATTTTTTCTCAGAAATGAGACATTTTCCCGTGGTTAAAAGTATCCTATATGTAGACCCGGATAACCAGCTATCACCCACCATACCAAATTTCATCAAAATCCCTGTAGTGATTTTTCTGTGATGCGGTAACAGACAGACAGACAAACAGACAAAAATTTTAATAACTATAGATTCGGCCTCTGTATCGATAATAATGACTATTTCAATAAGATTTCCCAAAAAATATTTAATGTACAGATTTGACTCAGAATTTTAGTATATTATATAGGTATAGAAAAATCTTCGGATATTAGAAAAAAGCTGACAATCCTATTGTTTCGTTAAAAGAATCAATGTGTCAGAATGTATTAATGTTAAATATAAACTTAAAGGACAGAGGTCGTATATTTAAGTGTTGAAACATTCACCTTACTTTGTATAATACACGCTCCTCCCATTACTTTAATAGGATTTGACCTATATTGTTGGATGCATTTAATTTTATTGGCATTACTTCCCATAGCCATAAGTGGAGGTTATTTATAATCCCTTGTTTTATGCGAATATTTTAATGGCCTAAAAAAGTTACACCAATACAGCACTTTAACATGCAATTTTAATCTTGTTCAGATGAAAATACCTATGGAGAATAAACTTATATTAATATTTTATAAATTTATTTGAACAGCATTTGTTCTATTTGTCTGTAATTGTAACATTTAAAATGTCTACTCTATAATTAAGCAGTTTGCGTTTTCTTATTAACAATTGATTATATCCAGTAGAAGATTTTTCCAGTAATAAGTAGTACAATTCACAACACAATGGTGTGTAACACAGCCATTTGTAAACTGTGAGTTCGTGCCACTTTGATATCATCGTGAATTATGTTACTAGTTAAAAGAAATTTAAATTAAATATTAAATTTTGAGGAGCAAAAATTTATTTCCAAAACGTATGGTACATACGAAGTAAAATCCGATTTTCCATACAGATATGAACAGCTTGTTAAACGCAATTTATGGCCGATTTCATCTTTAGTGAAGGCGAGCTAGTAGTTCTGTCGAAAGTACAACACCCTTTCAACAGGTAGTAGCATTGACATTGGCACAAGATGCCGAGAACGTGCGGCCAAGAAACCTGTCGATCAACACTGATCACACGTTAATTGCTCTTTATTATTAGTGAAATTAAAGTCGGACACATCTGGCTGACATTAGTGCTGCTCAATCGTTATCGGTCGTAAATGAACAAAATATGAGGGCGATTTAGGCGCTAAACCTGAATTAACTCTCGGTAAAAAGAAAGTAGTTTAAAATAATATTTATTAGCACGCCAATTATATTAAAATTATAATTTTAAAAGTACGCAGTGTTACTTTTAGTGAGTTAATTAATTATTAAATGAACGTTATTAAGTTGTAGAAAAAATCTATAAAAATCATTATAATATGCCTTTACTTGTACATATAGAATTAACATTTAAAGAACTTGCACATAGTTGATTAGGTATTTCCGCAGTTTTAAATGATAAATGCGAGTTAAAAAGGCCTAGTTAACCGATACAACATCAAAGCGTGCCGTGAAACACGACACAGTTGATTTGCTGCGAATCTTTATTTTTACGTTTTAATTAAGTAATAGTAAAACAACAACAAGCTCAGGTTTTCTTTTAAACAAATTATTAAAATAAATTAAAAGTTTTTTGGTCAATTAGCAGTATTGTTCATTTTCTTTTACACTATTCCGCTTTGCTAACTAAATTATATCAATTATTGTGAACCAGATCTTTAACTTTTAACTGTAAACTATAAAATTTATTTACTAAAATGTACTGTAGCATCTATATATTGCTTTTATATTCAATCGGTTTTTCCTTATTGACTATTTACAAGTTTATAACAAACGTATCGTGTGTTAGTGATAATGTTCCTCCTCGCTTTGTGTGCTCATAATTTGTAATTGTGATTTCGAAGTTTTTCTTATTGCTCGTCCATGTGAATAAGATATAGGAGTGAGATTTTCCCGCGGCGGAGCAGGTCGGTCGTCACTCCCACGCCGCCTTCCTGCGCCATGGACTCACAATGGCAACATTACTGCACACTTTTTCTCCGTCATTGTTGTATATTACGCGTTATCATTCCTCAATAATTCCTCGAAACCCGACCGATCTTTATGTTTTATGGAATCAAGATTTCTTCCGCGTAACTACTTTTTACCCTTCATGTCGCCGATACCAGTCCTTTAAAGCGTCTCTTGGCCTGGTCCATTTGTGATGTGGAACACTAATAAAGTTCATTAGTATTGTAATATATACGTATGTATCAGTACTGTTTATAGTTTATTTAAGCTAATTTGCCGTTTGAATAGATTTCTGCTTCCTTGTCTTTGTTTTACGTTTTATTCCAAGCCAATAAAATTCGCGGCAATCACGTTTTGTAATAAATACTTCATTAAATATTGAAAAACGCAGTAAAAGTGACGCCAACACAGTGTTTGCATCTTTACTCATCGAGTATAGAGACGCCAAAACGGTTTTCACTGGGAACTGTGCCATTTGGGTGCAAAGTTAAGGTGACAAGCGACCGCGTTTTGCTTATTTATTACCCTTTTAAAACATACCGGCCCTAAGCATTTTTATTCCTACATAGCTTGTGCTATGTTTTGGACATTTATCTGTTCGTGTACGATATTAAATGAATGGTTTTATTCGCGAACAATGACATTGAACTAGCAATGTGATCTACACTTGTTTATAAGC